CAATATAATGAAAATTATAAACTTTTACACAAAAACACAAAAACAAAAAAGAAAAACATTATCAATTAAGTTACCTTGAAATATGTTCTTAACTTATAGTTTTTAACCCTCAAGTACCCATATTGAAGGAAAGAAATAGCTTACAATAAAAAAAAAATCTCGAACATTCAAACATTGATTTATTTTGAAGAATTTCAATTCAATTTACACATATGTTAAAACATATAATTTTTTGTACTCGAGCTTGTGCCAATATTATTTAGATCAACAGACACTTATTACTCATGTTCGTGGAAAAAAACTTAAAAATTCTTTAATTTCTAGCATATCCATCAATAGCAACACATGCATAATCTGTTTTTACCCAGGACTTCAGAAAATGATCCCTTTCCATTATTGTCAAAAATAAAAGTACTGTAAAATAACACATTTTTGTGGAGTCAAATTTTCGTGGTTTGAGGAAAAACTCTTGGTCCGTGCATGAGGATTTGATTTCGTGAATGCAGAATTATCAGTAGTAATGTATGTCACACTTTACATTTCGTGGTGGACATGGATTTGTGGTGGGTCTCTTCACACCTCAAAAACAACGAAAATTACACCCCACAAAAATTTGTGATTCCACAGTATAATGAACAGTAGTATTACATAACTTTATATATTATTCTATTACGAAAGCACAAGGAAGTTACATATCAATATTTTTTACAATGAAACTAGCTATAGTATGTTAATAACAATGTCATCAAATATGTTGTCACAAAAACAAAAACTAAAACGCCATGACAAAAGTGATTAAATATATTTATTCAGCTTAGATTGATTGATTGTATATTGTTTAACGTCCCTCTTGAGAATTTTTCACTCATATGGAGACGTCACCGATGCCGGTGAAGGGATTCAAATTTAAACCTATACTCGGCACTCAGGGCCATTGAGCAGTGAGGGTTCTTTATCGTGCCAACGCCTACCGTGATACGGGGCCTACGTTTTAAAGGTCATATCCGAAAGACCCGTAACTTTCACTTCTAGTGCCGAGCGCTTGGTGAAGGAACAGTCACTACCTATGTTTACGTCTTAGGTATGACGCGGCGCCGCGATTGAGAATCGAACCCGGGCCTCCCGATCAAGAAGCGAACGCTCTACCACTAGGCTACCGTGACCGGTATATCCAGCTTAGAATCAATGTCGAAAGTTAGATTTGAAGGAATAAGTCACACTAGCACTTTTGCTCAGATTCTGCGGGAGCACATTCATCGATTCTTTTATTGAAGGAATCCCAAGGCGTTTGATCAAAAGTCTTTGTATTTTACCTAAACTATCAAAGTCAGCTAGAACCACTCACCTTATTCAATCTCGTGGTTTAGAGACAGGATCTTAAGAGATATAAACTGTTAATCGACAAGTTAATTGTCAAGTGTGAAAATTCCTTTCGAAGTTCGTGTTTATTTAAATATTTTAATATTCTGTTTAATAAAAGATTATATTGATATTTAATATATTTTTTAAATATTCTATCTTATCATTGGTTAATATCTAAAAAGAAGCACAAATTATTTCTGTATAACCTGGTTTGGTATGGAGACACTCCACCTGAAAACTGTATCCATGAAATTTTCTCATTTCAAATACTCGGGATCCATGGTAAATTCCAGATTTAAAAGTGCACCTTTAACTTTAAACCGTAACTCGATCTAACCACATTTAAATAATTAACATGGCTGCTATATCTATCTAGTATCTAACATTTTTGGCCTCCCATTGCTTGTCATCACTTCCGATACTATGCCTGTATTATTGAGCGTCAGATTTGAAGTAATACAAAGAAATTTTACACTTACAAATGTTTTAATGATTTTAAAAATTACTTATAGGCAATGACTCTAATTTTTTGCCAAATTATTTGAGTATATCCAGGTTTAGGTCGGTTTATTGTGCTTTATAATCCGGATTTTTATTAATCGTTAACTAACCAACACTGGGTTATAATTTAGCCAAGAATGTAAGTCATTCCAAAAATAACTTCTATAGTTCATTTTTTTTTCTTTTATAAATGAAACAAAAGCACAAAAGTGTGTTCTAATCAAAGTTCTACAAATAGTACATACGGATCTGCTTGGTCATATTTTTATTACATTGAGCAAAACACAATATTAATTCAGAATTTTTTTTTCTATGAATTACATTGTTGATTGAGAATGAGAATACTATTATTGATATAATTACTCAACCTTGCAACAGATAAACCACCTATATATACTTTCAACATTTAAACAACGTCGTGTCCTACTTTGATGTTTACTAATTTGATTCAGTAGTAAGAGTAGTAGTTTAAACTATTATTAAGTATCTATACCCTCTTCCTACAATGAAACAAATTTTAACTAATACGCACTGAACTTAATATCATCAGGAAAATAAACTTTTTCTTTTAGATGAACAGGAAGTGTTTAATTGGCCATGGATGATTATCTAAATATAGCAATATTCACAATTCGACAAAGATTCTTTGGATTTTTTAATTCTTTTTTCATTTTCTTACTAATAAAACATATCTTCACGCATAAACCTGTATTCATAACTGTACAAAGCATTTTTCCTGTCATTCAAACTCTATAAGTAAATAAATGAACCTTGCTGGGCGAAGCATGGTTCTAGTGGTCCTCTCATTCAACGTGTTTTCCGTGTTCTCTTTTATCAACAAGTTTCTTTTACCTCTTTGGACAACATCACTTTGATGTCAGAGTTCAATCAATTTCATCCTCTAGCAACGGAAAGGGAGAGAATAATTAACCTGCTTATATTATGGACAGAAAGTATCTTATTTAAAAAAAATTATCTACAGTATGCAATTTTTCTGCTATCAGTATTAACTTTTATAAGAATACTTTTGAGGTAAATAATAATCATAAAACGAAATAGGGGTTGCTGTCATCAGTACTCTGTATAATAAAGGGGGTACGTGTACTTTAATTTTGATACATTTTTCTTTCTATCAAAGATGTGTATCTTTATATCATTACTTTATATAAAATTGTTTTCTTGGTGACAGTATAAATGCTGCGCATGTTAACTATGCAATAAAAATCAAGGGTAAATGACGACAAGCATTAAGCAATTAAAGAAGTTCAAAATGAATTTTTTTTAAAAAGTGTCATGATTCGCAACAGGGATTAATTGGACATCTGTGCCCCAAGAATCACCTTACAAGTAAAGATGTGGATATTTCACCAGTGATTGCACACTAAATATTTAAAAAAATGATTGGAAGAAGTCAACAAAACTGTTGATTTTCTTCTTCAGATTTCTTAAAAGATAACACTTCTTTTAAGATCTTAAGTGGTGTGATATTTTTTAAAAATGTTTCGGAAATTTGGGGTGAGATATCAGATGACATATAGAGTGTACAGTTTTGATATGGCTGTTTAAAAGGTTTCATTAAGTAGGACATTCCTTCTTCCGAAACTTCATAGTTTAAACATGTTAAATTCTAGTAACTTTGATAAGAGGGACTTATTCTATATTTAGAGATTATTGCTCAAATGATATTTGCGTTTTATTGCAAGAAATGCTGCAAAAGAGGGGAAAATATATTTATGTTCTCCAGTGTTATTGAACCAATTTTACAAGTTCAGTAAAACTAGTTTTATGCACACACCTATAACCTTATGTATGGCATAACCATATGAAAATAACACAACACAAAGTTTGATGGATGAAATTATCCTTTATTGTACATGTACATGTATTAATGACGAAATTTAATCAAAAGATACATCAGATAGAAAAAATGTGTTAATTTGAACAAAACATAAGTTCTCCAAAAACAAATCTCCCTAGTGTAACATATTCCATCAAGAAAATCCAAAAATTAACAATCCAGATTCTAAAAAATAACAATCAGCAAAAAAAGTTGCACACTATTTTACATGAAATGTAATCGCGTAAAAAAAGTAAAATGTCAATATGTTCGTGGGCTAATCAAAATATAATGTCAAAACTACGACAATACCAGAGGCAAGTTTAACAATATGCAATTAATCAATCTCTAGGGTTTTCTATCCCCTGCTTATCACCAGGTGACCAATGACCAATCATCCTCTTTAAAACCTGAAACATTTCACATATTTACCTCCATTTTAATGTACATTTGCGTGTCCTTTTCAAATAAAAATCTAAATAATGAGTGTGGTATGAAAAATTATTTCTATGGAAACATTGATTCACCGTATTAAATGTATGATTGATGAAATGAACCTTTCACTCTAAATACAGACTTTAGAAATAGGAATAGCAGTTCATTGTTCCCATTGTCCATCATTTTTGACCAGTTTGTAGCATCAAGAATAAAACTTTTAGTAAGTTTTTGGAGGCTGAGACACTATATTAATCTTGATATCAAATGAATTTAAAACAAGAAAACATGCAGAATTTTAAAATGATAAAACTTTCTACAGGTAAATAGTCATAACTCTTTACCTAAATAATCATACCATATAAGGTAGAGAACCATGCAACAGAAGGAATAATATTCGCCGCTGGGCCAAGTTCGGCAAGCCGTTTAACAGTACAGATAACTTAACAAGTATATCGATGACATAAAATGATATGAAAAACCAAAACCATTTTATCTAATGCGTCGGTATAGTAAAAATCGGTTATAAGGAAGTCGATGGGACCTATGAAATTACCCCGCTATATATCCGTAATTTGATATTATCGTATAAGAACTCATTAAAGTATAGCTGGGAATCCAAGATGACATTGCTATATCCCTGAATTCGCAACCACCGTGTTCGTACTAAACGAGTTTTACTGTATAACCAAATGTCTTTATTTGGACCTTCTTAGAAGGTTGCTGAAAAAAAATGAGACTCTCTTGTTTCACATCCATAAAGATAAAATTAAGGATAAACAAACACAAACCAAATCAAAACCTCGCTTAAACCCATTTCAAATGATTAGCATTCATTTTCAGTTTGTCAAAAAAAGTTCAGTTTTTGAGACAAAAGTAAAAAAACCAGTGCTACAAACACAATTAAAACCACATTCACTTGAGCTTATCGTAATGTGATGGTTGACTTAATTGTCCAAGTTCTTGGTAACCTGCGTTATCTTCAACACTGTCATATGAAGGTGTGTTTAGGTCTTGTGTTGGATCCTGTTGATTACGTATATCCTCTGAGTTCTGTCTTTTATAAATGGTTTTTCTGACATTTCTGTAACATAAATAGGGAAAACCTTATGAATAGAAATTATCTGTATAAGAAATAAAGGGAAATTGATGTCAAATATTATTTTGATTGATTCATTTATACATTTTACTCCTAATGTTAACTTTAAAAAAGAATTCCTAACTCACCGAACAATGAAGAATACGTTGAGCAAAATACTTATAAAGAGAACTGTTGTCACAACGTACAGAGCTGATGTTGTCAAACTTGAATTTGTATTTTTTTCTGATGATTTCTGTTTCACTTAAATAAAATAAAGAAAAGTTTGATAATATTTTTGACGATTTCAAATCTGGAAAATGAGTTTATTTGGAAGCACCAATATTTTCTATATTTTAAAGGGAAAAAATATCTTAAGATAAGGAACTCGACTTTGAACTTAATCCTTCATGAGGTCTTTTAGGGATTTTAATCTTACCTACAGTGTGTATAAAACAAGCATTTAAGAACGCCCATTCTTTTTAATAATGTAAACCAATATATTTGTGCATGTGAAACATTCGAGAGAAAAACGAATATTTCTTACCAGCAAACAATTATTATAACCCCCGCTTGAAAAGTAGGAGGGTATATAGTAATCGGGATTTCCGTCCGTGCATCCCTCTGTTACGCTTTATCTCTTATCCGCAACTCCTCTTATACTACTGAGTGAAATCTAATGAAACTTTCACAGAATCTTTATTTCATATTGCCATTGTGCACCTCCTATTTTACTTTTTTATTCGACACGTATTTTAGGTTTCTCACAGCAAAACATGAACATTGCCATTATATGATTACCTATGACGTCACGTATAGAAGCTTCTGGATAACATTTGATAGGATGAGTTATTCCTCTTTACACATTGCCGTAAAACAATATACATCGTATAGCAACAAATGGGCATTATTGGAGGCGGGGGGTATCCTTTAGTGAGCTCATTGCTCACAGTACCTCTAGTTTGTATTTGTGTTTCAGAAGAATGCTGCCTCGGTCGTAAAAAAATAAAACTTAGAAATAAATAATGAGCAATGTTGCGAACACTATTTGCTTTAAAATCACTCTCCCTTTTTTATCAATAGAACATTTAAATTGTAGGAGAAATCTATAGAAAACATTAAATAATATATCGCATTTTACCTGTACATTTTTCATCAAGACTTTCGCCTTTGCACCCTCCAATACATAATCCATTCGAAAGACAGGTTTCGTTTACACAGCCAGTGCTACATTTGTGTTCACAAACTTCACCGTAATAGTGAGGACTACAGTCTATATGAAATTAAAAATAAAGTTGATCGATAAATTAAATGCAAAAAATTGGTCCATATTTTACACTCTACGATATTTATTTTCAAAGTTTTATATATTAAGATAAATGTTAGTCCAATGAAAACAGCAGCAATAATCAGTTATCATTTTCTTGTACAGTGTATATGTTTACCTTTGCAGGCGGTCCCTTGCCATCCTATTTTACACGTGCAACTCCCATTATTTTGGACGCAGTTGGAAGTGCACCCCTTTCCGCAATTATTTTGACACATGGCTCCAAATTTTCCACCTACACAATCTTTGCAATTGCCATTGTCTTTGTGACATCCATTTCTGCAATCAGCATTACATGTTTTGTTGCAGAAGTTTCCAAATGTGCCAACTTCACAAGAACCTTTACACAAGCCAGTATCCCTATAACATCCTGATGTACATGACGTATTACATTCAATGGAACAGTTAATTCCGTAATGGTTTAGGTCGCATTCTAAAATTCGGTCATCAAATTTTAAAGGTTTTTCTCGGTAAAAAAAAAAATAACGTAAACAAAAGAAGGTTCCTTGGGTTCTTTATGTATGATCTTTGTGGCGTTAAACTATTACCACAATGTAATATATGAGCATTCATGAACTTAATTGCATATACATGTACACTGCAGAAAATGCATAAATTTGCATACATTGTAAAGGATTTTTGAAAGCACATAAAATATATTAAAATATTTTGGTTTCCAAATCAGCAAATCAATGAAATTATAATGCTAAAAGGAAGACCATTCCTGTATTTTTTTTTTTTTTATTTAAACTACTGATAAATACTCAATCGTTTATGGATTCATTTTTTTCAAACTTAAGAACAAGTGTTACCATCAAAGTTTTAATAGAAATCTTGAAAATAACAACCTAGTAAAATAAATTAAGTTATAGAATTAATTTTTTAAATTCAGAATTTCGCTTTTATTCGATAAAATATTAAAAAAAAATTGCTAAGATAAAAATTAATGGTTTCAGATAGGTCGAACTGGTCTTTGAAAAAAGTTTAGAAATTCTATTATTTGCATTATTTACCACTGAAAAATTCTAATCCAATTATCTTGCTAAATATAATGAAAGTTTGTTTGAAGACTTAAGAAATAAATTCCTACCATCACATCTAATTCCTGTCCAATTTGATAAACATCCTCCAATGCAAGTTCCATCGTTGTTACAGCTAGTTTGTGCACAATTAGGACTACATGAAATGTTGCAAAAGGAACCATAATATCCGATCTCGCAACCTTTATTACACTGACCGGTGTTTTGATCACAACTTCTTAAAACACAGTGTTCATTGCAATTTTTCCTACATTGAGAACCAAAATTTCCATCTCTGCATCCTAAACAATACCCATCGCTTTTCCTGCATGACCCATTTAAGCAAGTTGAGCTACATTGTGTTTTACATTTGTCTCCATAAAATCCTGCATCACATACAGAACAATTTCCATAGTATCTGTCACAAGTATCAGGGTTGCAATTACCACACCGTATACAACAAATGAAACCGTAATACCCCGCAATACATCCGTTTGTACAGTACCCTGTCTAATCACACGTTTGTCCTTGGCACGCAGAACAATATGAACTACATGTATCTCCATAGTATCCATGAAAGCAAGAGGTACAGCTTCCATCTCCTTTATTGCAGACGTTATTTAGACAATTTGGACGTTGACAGGCATTCGTACATTTCCCTCCCCAGTATCCCGAAGAACATACCCCGGTGCAGTTGCCGTATAGATCACAAGCACCGTCTACACAATTTCGGCTGCATGCTTTTGAACAAAAAGATTTTTAAAAATAATTAAAACTTAATAAAATCCCAGCTTACTCATTATAATTTTAAAAATCTTGGGGTTGCTTAAACTAAAAAAATTGTTTCCTTAAAAACTAAATCAATTTGACACGTGTTCTAGAAAAGATTTTAAAATAGAACATTCCATATTTTTTTGTAAAGTGTGAGTACAATTCTTTATGTTAAGCGAAGGATGTTTTCAGGAAGTGACTTATGGTCAAAGTGTAAATAAAAAAAGATACGCTTATGAGTATCAGTATTCATATCCTTAAACAAAACATGCAATCTAAATTAAAAATCGATAATTATATTGACTATATGAGGAGTTACTTGAAACGCTTACACATGCTTAAGAATTTTTATATCACTAAATAGATGAAATGAGTAGAGAAAAGATTATATTCTGTTCAAATATTTCAAATATATTGTATAATTGAAAATAAGTTGATCGATCTTTTATATCTAAAGTTAATGATGAAACTCCGCCAAGTTCAATGCCAAGTATACATGTAGGTCTTGATGATATGGTAATGCTTTGAAATTTTGCCTTTTAAAGATACTTAATTCGTAATGTAATCTTTTAAATATAAGGATAGCCTTTTACAAGGTTGTGGTTAATCTTTTTTCAAAATGTTATAAATTTAACATTTTGGAAAAAAATTGGTAAATGTAGTTGTTTCTTTTTGTATCTCATTTAATGTCCCTCTCGAGAATTTTTCATTCATGTGGAGACGTCATGTTTGCCGGTAAATATCTGTAAATTTTATCTTATACTGGGCACTCAGTGGCGGATCTTTTTTTAGTCCGTTTAGCTACTGCGACACGGAATTGAACTTCGGTTTATATTGAATAATCCACGATCCAAAGAGGCATTAGAACCCACGACATAGGGATCAACATTTGATTATAAATATAGTGTACTTAACATTAACTTACGACAACCAGTTTCAATGTCACAATACAGACATCCACCACAGGATGAGCAAGACGGTCCGTAAAAACTAACATTACAGCCTAATAAAATGAAAAATTGAAAAGTAAATTTTTATTGTTAAGTTCATATTATACTGAATTTTTGTATTTGTATTAGGCACTAAACTACAAATCGCGTATAGCAACATGAAAAATGTGATATTAGCATTTAATTGCACATCTTCCCCTTATATTATTCAACTGATAATGAGGCACATGTTAAATATATTAAACATTTATTTCATTGTTAGTGATTTTTAAATCCTACCGTAAATTTTTATTTCACACACTTCTAGTACAGCTCCTTGACCAGCCTCAGGGGCATCGTAACTTGTTGCAACTCTGACGTATCTGGCGTACTCCTTACATGTTATATTTTGTATACTTGAAGGGTAAGCAGGATATTTAGTTGTATCTCTGTGGCACAAGGTCCATTGTGATGAACCCCCACTAGTAACAGATAATTCAAATTCCCGAAATCTGTATGGTTTCCAATTACCTGTGAAAATCATGAATCATTTACATCGCTGCTAAAGTAAGTCAATAATCATAATCATGACCAGGCCTCAGGATCATGAAAAAAACTTAGACTTATGTCAAAAATTCAATCCTTTGTAAAATATTTATTATTTGTTGAAAAAAATCGGTGTAAACACTTCGAAATACGTATTAACACATGTAAAATTATTATTTATTATGGTTGTGACTTTATTGCACATTTGAGGATAGGGATTAATTTTTATTTTCATGTTTCTTATATAATTTAATATTGTATTATGTCCTTAATTTTTTTGAAAAGGTCCTGTCACGAGATTCTTGACTTCTTTAAAAAAATTTCGCTTCACAAATATTGCCCTGTATAGTATTTGTATGAAATATGAAGTTTGAAGTTTTTCCTGTTTACGGGTCCATTACGGAGTCAATAGTGTGAATTTCAAACACAGATAATAAATTTATATATACATGCATGGTACTCTATATACTCAAATATTTTGGAATATTTTTAGTTTTAAATTTTCTGAAAGCATTTTTTAATTTCACATTGTTTTTGGGTGGTGTAATTTCTGCACTTTTCAAGGCATCTTTAGCGACAAAAAGCTCATTTTGGAAAAATATGCCAATAAATAGACTAAATTTTCGATGGAATGTCAGTCCGTCATCGTAATTATTAACTGTATGAATTTCAAAAGGTTAAGGTTACATGAACCTCAGTATATTATTTGACGTCGCTGAATAAGACATAAGTATGAATTAAAAAAAGCTTAACATTATTTACAAAAACATTTTACGAGTGCGGAAAAACAATTGTGACGTCACTCGAAAATATAAACACGCAAACTTAACTAAGTGCTTTATCTCACTGAACTGAGAATTCAGACACCACGTCAATGACGTTAGACTGCTTCGTAAAGAAACGAATGAATGGATTTTGCAATATCACAATATCTAAGTATTAGCAAGATTTTTGAAAACTATCATTTTTTATGACAGTTATTGAAACAAAACAATTTTAGATTAAAGTTACACAAGAACTGTTGATTTTAACAACGTTTAACATGTACAACAACAGCCGCTATGACTTAGTTATCTATCTTTTGAGAAACTTGGCATGTGTCCTGTCTCTCCTCAAAGCGAGAGTGTGATAATATTAAAAAAAATTATTATGTGTATTTACTATTCACATGTTTGCATTTTATACAATTCTGTTTTGTACTATATTTTGATTTTTAAAAAAAAAAAAAAGCTATTTTGCTCAAAATAAAGCAAGATGACTGTTGTTCTTTTTTTTTATTTTAACAACGTTTAATATGTACATCAATAGCCGCTATGACGTAATCTGTCTTTTGAGTAATGTGGTATCTGTCCCGAAAAATCCAAGATTTTGCCCTTGTTTCTTATACATTGTGTGCATCTGAACAGAGACGTTTAATAGATCATGCATCTGAATATCATGACTTTGTTCAAATGCGTTTATTAGTCCCCTACCGGTGAAACCGGAGGGAACTATAGGTTTCCTCTGCGTCTGTCCGTCCGTCCGTCTGTCTGTCTGTCTGTCTGTCTGTCTGTCTGTCCCCGTCTGTCTGTTAGTCTGTCCCACTTGGTTTTCCACATTTTTTTTCTAAACGCTGGCAGATATTGAGCTGATTTTTGGTACGTGGGTGTATCTTGATGAGTTACAGATCAAGTTTGAATATCGTTCCGATTCAATGATTTTTTACGGAATTACGGCCTTTTCAATTTTTCAGGGTTTTCCGCACTTTTCTCCTAAACGCTTGCAGATATTGAGCTGGTTTTAAGTATGAGACTTTACCTTAATTTGTTAAAGACTAAGTTTGTATTTCGTTCTGATTAATTGATTTTTTTAAAGAATTATGATTTTTTTTTTTTTTTTTTTTATAATTGGGTTAAATATAGGGTTCGTGATGCACTACATTTATGTCGTGATGCACTCAATTTATATTCTTAAAACTTGCTGGATAGCTTTCATAAATTGATTAGTTATAGTCTTATAGATCAAGTTTGAATTTCGTTCTACTTCATTTATTTCTGAAGGAATTGTGGTATTTTTAATTTTTTTAATAATTGGGTTCACATTAGGGTTCGTGATGCCCAAAATTAATGTCCTACTACTGGATTCATGTTCTAAACAAGATCATCATGATTTGAATCTTACTGGATACCTTTATAGTGACAAATATAGATCAAGTTTGATTTTTTCTGGTATAAATTTGTTGTTCAACCATTGTTGATCAAGCAAATAAGCTGTTCTGATCAAAAGAATTTGTGTGTGTCAAATGGCATTCAAAGACGTCACGGGTCTTTCTTTGTAAGACATACATTTCATTCATATTCAAGTAACAACTGAAAAGTCCATATTTAAGTAACAATTTTCCATACACAGGCTCTAATAAAATGACACCCCAAAGAGAAAAGGGGAACCCGGTAGGGGACATGTATTGCTTATGCAATACTCTCAGAATGCTTGTTATTATTGGACTAGTCCATCTATGGAATAAACCAAGGATCGGGAAACAAATTAGAAAAACATTTCTTTAGTGTTGCATGTCCGTATACTGATATATAATACGATATGTTGTTTAAAAGAATGAGATAAAACATCCATTTGTAGATAGAATTACTATAGCATTAGAAGGAGGTTAAAAGGATAAACTTTCATTCCATGGAAGATAGAACAATTCATAAAATTGAACAATCCAAGGAAAAGGCATGAAGAAAGCAGGGACATTTTGCGCGAAAAGGGAAATTCATCCCTTTCATCCCTTGCGTAGAATATAAACGGACTGATTCAATAACATAGAAATGAAGAAAAATGGATACATGGACATTGAAACGGTGAATGATTTATTAGTTTCGGATTATGGCAATCCTTATACAGTCTGACGCTGTGACGTCAGGCAATAATCTGAATGTGTAACTGTATAAGGTTCTAAGTTAATGAATCGTGTTCTACATAACCTTCAGTTATACCTCAATATTTACATTTAGTGTAATTTTCTTTATGAAGTCCATTTGAAATCCGTTCAAATTTCTATAACACACGGTAAACCTTGTCACATCGCGGTAGAATAAACAGTAGGAACTACCACTACTGGAAGAAAAAAGTGCTGATAATCACAAGTTTTACTGATAATGTTTGATAATTACTGATACGGTGCTGTTCTTGCTGATAATTACTGATATTTACTGTTATTTTTACTTTTGGTGCTGATAAATTTAGTTGTTGCTGAGAAATACTGATAATTACTGTCGTCTTTACTGTTAAGTCTGATAAATACTGATAAGTACTGTTGATGTGCTGACGTTGCTGAGATTTACTGATAATAACTGTGGCCACTTTTTTTAAGCTGGGAAGGGGTTAAAATAGTTTGAAAAACTATAATTTGTTTTAAGAAAAGTAATTTATTCAAAAATTATACATCCATTTTCAATATATAGGAACGCAAAATGTATATTGTTTTGTTTCAATTTCATTTAAAAAAAAACTACCCTTTCAAATTTAACATAAAATACAACAAATGTGTCTAAAAAATTAATTTGTCAATTTTTTCCCTTGCGTTACTCATCTTTCCTACGTCACAAACGGCTTTCCAACGTCACAAACAGCTATTACGTTTATAAAGCACACCAATGCCGAAGGCGCTAAATTCACATTAAACATGAACGAAATAAACAATTATGATGAAGAAAAATTAGAGAATGTAAATATAAGCATTGAATTCAGATTTTGGGATGTCTTTGATCCTATAACAGACCTCGCTGTGCCGACAAATTATCAAACCGCGCTAACGGCCAGGTGTGTTATAGGACCGAAGACATCCCAAAATATGAATTCAATTCTTAATTGTTATCTCAGTACTATACATTTAATATATGCTTATACAATTTAAAGTTGAATAGTCTGATCTTTTTGTTCTTATAATGACACTCACTTTTCAAAATCAAACTTATTTTGAAACTTGAAAAATTGAGAACATTTTTCTAGTTTTAATGATAGCTGTGAATTTTTTTTCATATCTGCTGGCTTATCTTGCAAATAGTTTAGTATGAGTATATTTAAGATTAAATCAGTCAACTGCAGGGGACTTCATGATAGCTAAAAGGAAAAGATGTTTTCGACTATTTATGGGACAAAAAGTTCAGTTGAAACTGAACCCCCTGCTGGTCCAACTACTAACTTTTGATACAATGAATTTCTTTGAATCATTTAGAAGATTAAGCTGCATACACATAATACGTATGACTTAAGTGTAAATGTTGGATTTTTTCTTGTATATATATATGGTCATGCTGGTTTATATAGGGTTGATAAAAAGTTTGTGGAATTTCTTTATATTTTATTTATTTGTTAGTAAAATTGGTTGAAAATTACACATGAAAATATAGACACTTCCTGAATGTTTTAAATAAAAACATATTTTAAATATTTGTGATAATTATTCTATTACAGTTGGCATAGAAACGGATAATTGGAAATGCGGGGCATGCATCAAGGCGTTTATTATGACTTTAATTATTATTGTCACTTTAATTATTATTGTTATGCCCTTATAAACATCCTTCTTTATATCTATTACTAATAAAAAGTCCTTCAAAAAATTTTTATTACATCGGTCTAATACTGTTGACCGGTCTAACGTAAGAAGTGTTAGACCTCAACGTCACTGTCACGTCACCAGTAATTAATCAGCGTTCAATATCGGCGTTGCGGAAATAGCCGAAGTTAAGAGCTACAAGAGTTGTTGCTAAAAGCAAGGTACGGAAGAAGGGAAGAGTAGGTTTTATGATAAATAATTTTTCTGATACATAAATGTATAATTGATTTTGTTCTTTCTCAGCTTCATGTTTTATTTACTGATTGAGCCATTATTTTCCACATACAGTAATTGATACATGTAATATAGCGTGAATTGATTAAATTGATCAATCTTAAGTGAGCAGTGAAGGGAACAAAACAGTTGTTGACTGGGATTCGGGCAACATATGATTTGTTGGACATGAAGGTGAAAATGTTGCCCTTGGCCTGCGGCCTCGGGGAATATTTTTACCTTCAGGTCCAACAAATCATATGTTTCCTGATACCTACTGGGCAGTCAATAACTGTATAATACTTGAAATGAGAATAAAACCCTCCATATGTTATAGGAAACGAAAATTATGTCATTATTACGATTGCTTGATCTCTTATAAACCTATTTGTTCGAGTTTCATCACTGATTTTACTGGATAATAATAGTGCTTAAGTTATTGTTAATTCAACTTTAGGTTGTTAGACGACGGCAGATTTCGTTCAAGTCATACGTTTTGTGAAAATCCCGGGATCACTCCATCTTGAATGGAGATATATTATTGACATAGACTGTTAAAAAATGCATATATATGTATTTACTGGTTTTCCAGTGGCGTAAGGCTTTTGAGGCTCTGTTCTAAGTGTTTACCGCCACCCCTCGAAATAAATTAAAAGCGTTAATAGACGTTTTCGGCTGACGTACTGTTCCTGACATTGCTACCGAAATCGGAACATCATATAGAAAGATGTTGAAATTTTTGTTGAAAGATCTTGGGTATTTTGAAATATAGGTGAAAAATGAAGATAAGTTGGGGTGAAAAGATACCCAGTCTTTTCACGAGAAAAAAATGAAGGGGCAGAAGAATGTAGAATTACGTATTCGAATTAGATATTACGGTGATATGCTTCTATAACGTGATGTGAAGTACCTAACTTGACGTTGACGTTGCACACGGTGTTGGTATCAGTTTCGGTAACGTCAAAATTAATGTTATTTTTCGTGAAGTTCTAGAAAAATTTTTTGACGTTACTTTTTTGCTAACATTTTTTATGGAGGAATAATAAAAACCCAGTAATGCCGCGAATTATATAATGCAGGTAATTGAAAACACATGTCATTAAATTATCTGCACCTTTCTGCATGCAAATTGCGGGAAGAAATTATGAGCATGATTTACCTCATTAAAAAAAATGGTAGAAACTTGTTCAACATCGCATTTTAAATTTACATGCTTTTTATTTTATTGAGATAAATTAAAAAAAAAATCCCATATCAGTAGGCCCTAGAACTTGTCATTTGTTTTCAGTAAATTGTACAATTGTAGATATTTTGCTGATTTAGCATTAAATTATTTTTTTTCGTTCAAAGTCCCATCCTATCTTGTAATGAAAATCTAACACATTTGTACTCACCTCGGACAACCCCTAACCCTTATTCCATATTGAATTATTCAATGTAAAGGCGCCAAGGTATAGAACATTTTATACCAGCATAAAATAAAGTTGACACACTTTACTGTGAGTTAATTCAAATTTGAAATCATATCCTTGCATAAATTTTGGTTTGTGTGATTTTTTTCTCTTGTCTTAATTCGAACTCCGAATGATACTTTTGTTCAGATTCTGACAAGGATTTATACCGATACATTGTACAAGTATACACTGCACATGTTTTACTTTTATATATAAATCCAAATTTTAAAACTTAAAATTATTTTTTTTAATTAATCTTTATTGGTATGTTTTTCTTTTAACCATATCAGGCTCATCAGCAATTGAGAGTAAGTTTTGTAGAAAGAAAAAAATATTTTGACGCTTTACATAAGTTTTATGCATTGAACCTAATAACGGCAAAACGCCAAAATTTTTACGTCTTTGACATTTATGTTGACATTTAAAATTTGTTAGGATTTTGTCATTATTCTACTGAAATTATTTTGGAATATACCAATGACTTTTTGAAAAGATGCACATTTCATAAAAATCCTTTAATTTTCAATATGTCTATATTCAATGACTACACATATGATCAATGTTACAACATTTATACAATTATAGTAAGATTTATTACTTTTGGACAATGTGTGACATTTATGTTGACATTGTAAAAAGCCTATAAATCAAACACTTCTTTATATAATCAATTCATTTTCATATCTAAATAAAGTTTTGATTTTGCACATTTTGTATTAAACGTTGTTTGGTGCCAAATTAGAAAAATGAATTCTTAAAATGTAGGTCATTTCTTTGGTGTAGCATTTTAACGTGACGTTTTTGCCGTCAAATTCAAATGTGACGTATAGCTACATGTAGTACATACCCGGTATTTGTAACACGGCAATTGTTATTAAAATTTAAGGCACCGCAAGTTAAAACTCTGTCTAGAGATCTTTTTTTAATAACATGGCAACATTTTGTAGAATTTAAAATAATTTTCAACATCAATTTTTCATCCAGCATTACAAAATTTGTCATTTTACAATCTTAAAAATCTTAAAAAACTTTGCGACATTGAGCCTCCACAATTAATCGGCTTAATATCAGAAACCTATCATATATATCGACACAAAATATCAGTTTAATTTAAAATATAATTCCTTGCACACAAGAAGAATCATTGACATGCCATTTCAAAATTGATTTTGCTCATGAAATTATTTTTTAAACTTACCGATGACATTTCATGTTCCTTCAAAATTTCTTCGGATAGCGCTTACATCTACAACGCTGTCTTGCATTTTGAACAATGCGTTCACAACATTCGGATTGAACAAAATCCCAGTTGTAAAACTTTACATCAGTTACATCATATTTTGAACTTTTCTGCTAATTTTATGTTTGTATTGTTTGTTTTATGGAAATTATCAACATTTTGTTATTGCGTGCGCGAGGCTCCTGTTACATGTACCTATCTACATGCGTTTTTGACGTAATTGATTGAAAAGTCGAATTAATGTATTTGATAATTTGAATTTTTTATCAATATATTTGTTTAAATGTATTTAGTATACAATTACCAACCGAATGATATATAGTTTTCATATAGTCATTTTCGCTAGCCAAGGGTTTCCGATCCGATACCTACTCTACAACCCTTGGCAGATTTGGCTGAAAAATTTAGAACTCGCGCAAACGAATTTGATTGGCTGCGAGGTCCGAGTCTACGCAGGACGATTTTCGAATGAATTAAAGCAGTTTCGTGTATTATGCAAAAGAAAAGTAATATTTACAAGGGATGAAAGTTAGGACGTGATCTATGCTGAAAAAAAACAAGGGAGAAATTAATTTAATTTTTTTTCTTCTGATTATATATGTTTTCAGGAATTATTGAAAGGACCTCATAGGTCCGTGTTCCGCATTTTAGGTGCATCAATTTAAGCCAATCAAATGTTACGGCTAATTGATAATAATTGATACGGCAACATGTAGAAAATAAAGTCAAACTCTTCACAAAAAACTCCACGAAAAACGATATTTTCTACCACTTCTGAAGTGTGCCCACTGCCAACAGCTGTATAAGGTTGTTGGGATATACTCTACATCAGGCTGCATGGAGATCGCCACATTGTTTCGAACGTCATATTGATTTACGTATGTTACAGCTATTTTTATTGGACAAATATTAAAGAGCTTCAAGGGACTTAACTCAATTACGGCGATAGGCGACGCAATTAAAGTTCCCGTTTAATAGGACTAAATCTGCCAAGGGTTGTAGAGTAGATTTCGGATCGGAAACCCTTGGCTAGCGAAGATGTCATATAGTGAATTGTTTAAAAATTATGGAAATAGCGCATATGGCGCCGTAATAGTAATTACATGTATTGGCTTTTTGACACCAACACCGCGGGCGACGTCGTTACTTTGGTAATTGGAAACTGGTGAAACTTTCCAGTATTGTTTCATTAATATGCGTATTTTTTGCTTTTATCAAATTTCGATAAAATTTTTGAAAGAATTTTTGGATCAACCCTCGTATATTAAAAGCTTCGCCTGTCACAAAAATGTATATTTAATACAATCATGGTATACGAGAACTTTGTTTAATTAGTTTGCAAAATCTAATGATCCCGAACTTTGGCTATAAACTTATTGCTTACCATATTCATGTGACGGTGTTATAAATAATATTTCAGATTGAGATAAGAACGTATAGAATTCTTTTTTGAAATCTAGATGTTTATAAACTTCACAATTTTTCTTTTATTTAATCAAAAAAGTTAAACAATAAACAGTTGAGGTTACTTGGATATTACACAACAATAGCTACTATTACCTTCATTCCTGTAGTAGATAACGATGTTTTTCAAGTGATAAACTTTTCCTAAGTCCACTATAACATAAGCTGATGATTGGCCAATAGCAGTCTGTGAACAGCTAGTGTATGACTGAATGGTAATCCCGTCAATCACTTTATCTGATCCAAGGCCTTGATGTGTTGTGCTCAAATTAGCACTGCACGTTCCTCCTCCACATATATCGACTATAAGAAAGTTAGAAATGCTTTAGAATTTAGGTTACATTTTATTTAAGAAATTTCAGTACCTCTCAAAATATTTCGAAATGGCAGAGTTTACATGCTATCAAAATCATTTATTTAAAATTCTTTGCTAGACAATTCATATTCTGTCTATTACAGCAATTCAAAATTTGAATTGATCATTATACATAATTTGATCACCGATGTTACTCGCCGTTCAATCCCAGTCAAACTAAGTACTTATTGTGTTTTATTTACTTATAGTATTCTGCCGATTTGTTGTCTATATTGAATTAAACCAATAAGAAATACAATGATTGATAAATAATTGACAGTTACATGTAGTTATAAATCATTTAAGTATTTGAGCAAAAATGTGCTCAGGAGTTTGATCAGCTTCTCTGCGATTTTATTTTGGGAACCTTGTTGTTTTTCTGCAACAACTCGGAACTTCTTTTCTGCGATACTTTTCTCCCCTAGTTATTACGAATTTTCTCCTTTTGGTGTTTTCTTGTCGCATTTTTGAATGGACATGCAAAGCAATTAACGTTGTTCGTTCGACAGCTTTTCGGCAGATTTTTGTCTTAACCTCAGAGTGTATTTAAAATAATTTACATATCTTTTTTTTTAGTTCTGACAATACATTTGGATTTTATTATGCTAAATCCACTATTTTCAATTAAAACGCCATGATAATATTCCACACGAAAACATTTAACGAGGAACTTTATTATGCGACGGAATGTTTTTTTTAGAAGCAAAAGATATTTTTTCCTTTTCCGAACTATTCAGTTACTGAGTAATTAAGTTTCATCTCTCTCAGTTGATTCGATACACAAGAGCATGGTCTACTCATAACTGATTCCATTAAGAAAGAGGATTTTCTATTAGTGTCCTCTTTTTTGAATTCAAAATGAAAAATGACGACAATGCAATTTCAGCAATCAACATTTTTTTAATTCATTGCCATGATTGAATACAATGAGAATTGGTGAGAACACCAAATTTTATGCTAAAACAGACAAATTATTTATCGGTTTTCTATATTAACAGTCAAAAATTGGTGAGTGCACCAATTTGAATTCTGAGTATCTTCAAATAAATATTGATCTTGGTGGTTCCACCAAGAAAACAAGAGTGACTTTTACAATTCATAATTCTCTAGTTAACCATTCAACTACTTGGTGGGTCCACCAAAAATACGAAGACGAATACCTAAGAATACTTGAATTACATGAAATAGATATAACAAGTGTATTTATGAGTAGTGGGGATTTTGGTGGTTCCGCCAAAAACATTAAATGTGGTGAAATTCTCGATAACATTTTTAAAATGCCGTTGGTGAATCCACCAGTTTTAAAATACTCAAACAAACCATTGAGAGAAACTGACTTGTAGAACCGTATAAAAACGTCCTTTATACAGAGTCGGTGCACTCACCAAAATGCAAAAATTCAACTAACAAGACATTCATATTTTCTCTCACAAATACTTGGTGGATCCACCAAAAATACCAATAGAAATTCACAAGAATTCTTAAATGATTCACTGTCAAGATTATCTAGCATTCACAAATATTAGGCAGTTTGGTGGATCCACCAAATACATTAAAATCAAAAGGCAATCATAATTCCCTTGTAAGATAACGTAGAGACACCTAATACATTTATGTACACAAGGGCAAAAACCTGGTGGGTCCACCAGAAAATTCGAAAATCTTCATGTAACTCAAAGATTAACTAATTTGTCTCTGAATATAGAAAGTCGTTTGGTGGACTCACCAACCTGTAGAAAAACAAATTCCTAGGTTTCCTTAATTTCTCTAACAAATACTTGGTGGAACCACCAAAAACAAACCGAATACTTGAATGATATACATTTTATTATCAGCATTGCCTAATTTTTTAAAGTGGGGAGTTTGGTGGGTCCACCAAAACATTTATCAAAGAAACATTTGTAGATTCCAATTACAATGACTAAGTTCCTGTCTATATTATATGAACAAAAAGTTGGTGGATTCACCAGAAAACGTCGAAAATATACATCTTACACTCTTTTTATTTTTTGTTGATACATTCGCAATTCAGTAATAAGTGGAACTATGAACATGCATGTGATTAATTTACTTATGAAATACAATTTCAAAGAGTTGTATACATGTGTATACATTTTCAAAACAAATGTGAATCCTCCAATAAAGGCAAAATGTTATATAAACATTATAAAAATTACCCGGTATTTACCGTTTTATTTGCCTGCTAATAAAGAGAAGAAAAAACAAATCTTTCCTTAATTTTTTAACAAAAAATACTTAGTTTGTTTCTTTAACTCCCCTAACATTTTTGCGATTTTCCGTGTCTGCACCTACTGTATTACACGTTCTGCAATGGGGTGCGTATCCGAGCATGACACTTAAGAAAACTTCTACCATCGGAGTCCAAAATATATTATGTGACTAAATATTTCAATTTAATTTATCCCTTTATGAATTTTTTACTGAAGCAATCAAAATACATAAACTCTAGCACTCTCAAATACAAATATAGAAAGCATTAGGAATGAATGCTGCACAAGTAAAAGTGTCAACCATGAGATTCAACACCATTAAAAATAATAAACAAAGCATAACCTTTAAAAATAGATAATTAATTCATCATCAATAGACTATGTAGTCATTCCAAATAGAATTTAAAATTATACATCCAAGTCCAACACGATCACAATCGCAAGAGCTGATATAATATATTTTTGTCCCTAACATTGATGTCCCTTTTCACATCTATGGTATGTTTTGCAAGAGCTAAGGCCCGAATTACATGTACTGACTTTTTGCAAATTATGTTTGGAAGGTGGTATTCCTTTTCCAGTTGGTTTGTCTTCTGATATGAATTTTCTTTAACACGTTTTAGCCATCCTTTCATAATTAAACTGTTGAATATGATTGTAGTGTAGCGGCTTAGATCAAAATGTCAGCAAAATAGTTCACTTGTGGATACAAGCATGAAATTTGGCACAAATGTCTATCTGATACTACTAAATCTAAAAACATCGTTGGCCACCGCAATTTCCGCCATTTTCAAGATGGCCGTCATTAAAACAAAATGGCGACATTTTCATGCAGTTTGGCCTCACATACATTCTTTTACAACCAAATTAATTATATTTTGACCGCTAAAAGATATCTTAATAGTTTAGAAAGACTTTAAAAATCATTTTCCAACTTGAATGCTATAAATATAAAGTCAAAATGATTTTCTTATAACGCATTATATTGTTCCCTATTGTAGAATTGAAATATATTTTCACAAGAAGCCATTAAAAAAAAAACTTGTAGTATATGTTTTACAAAAGCCTCGCAGGCGTTCCCTCACTATCCAGTGGGCCTGAATACCAAGTAAAATTTTGTATTCGAAAGCCCTCAATAAGTAAAATAATCCCCCAAGGAACGTAAAATCTCATACAGTGAAACACTCCTCCAAAGCACGTAAACACTCAATAAATGAAATAATCCTTCAGAGAACGTAAAATTTCATTAAGTAAAATATTCTTTCAAGCAACGTTTTATTTTACTGAGTGAGATAATCAATCAAGGAACGTTAAATAAAAGGTAATGAATCAATTTTGTATTTATGACATAAAACAACAGGTAATCATTCGCTATCCACAATGAAGAATGCCATGGACTGTGAAGACAGCACAATCCATCCTTTTTAAATCCAAGACAAACGCCTGAGATGGCTTGTAACCAATCTTTATTTGTTCTTGCCAGAAGATACGATGAGAATTATGACTGGAAATTCATGGTGAAGATAGATTTGTTGTTAATATGTTTGATGGGTTGCATATTGAAACGGTAGCTTTCAAACTGCTTGATGATTTGTTGAAAGGAAACTGCTGGACAACAGCATTAATTCAAGCAGACAGAAGTTGCATATTCTGGAACTGCTGAGTCTTTCCTAACAGTTTCTAATCTTGCTAAAACAAGGCAAGATTATCTAATCACTGCCTGCTGTCTGTATAACGTGATGAAAAGGCGGACCAAAATGCAAAGGAACTCAATAATTGCAATGAGGTTGAAATAAATGACATATTTTTCACAATTTAAATTTTGGTCAAGAATTCTTTTGGAACTCGTTGTCTTATCTTTTGTAAAGTCTTGCAGAGAATCAGGCTTTACAAAGAATCTTAATCAAATATGATTCCAAATTTCTTGCCCTTTGTCACATCAAATATGCTCGATGACTACCATTTCACCGTTGGGGGGCAAACAAAGCACCCGGACATATACTAGTACTTAGAATTTGAAAAAGGAATCTTTACTTGGAAAGTAGTTTTCAAACATTGCCATTCGTCAAACCTATGAGCAGAATGCTATTGTAAAAGGTGATGGTTAACGGAAGATCCAGCTGCATTAAGGGTGGTAGCTGGTCCAGAAATCAGCATACTTACTAAAGAGTTCACGTGAATATGTGGAAATGTTCACGAGAAGAAGGGAAACATCACGAAGAAACTCATGCTGCTCAAGAAAGTTTTTTTTTTCAAAAGTAAATCGGGCTATGCCTATGGTTTTGGAAATGGGAAATCCATTTGAGGAAGAGTTGCTGGGTCTTTATAGTTGTTGTCGAAACCAGAACTGCAGATGAAATATTTAAAAAGGGAGACATTGGGAAAGAACAATATAGAAAAATTCCTTTTAATAGATGTGAAGGTGATAATCCAGGTTTTATGAATTTGTTCAGAAGAATAAATTTCGCCTATTTAATCCCAAACAAAAATTTGATTCTTCAAAGTCAAAGTTGGCAAATTTTGAAGATGACTTTACCCGTTTTTCTAGGTTATTTATTTTCTGTCAGAGTAGGCAATGCGATGTACAAGAATTTTTTGAACATGAAAACCAGGACCCCCTCTCTTTCACAAAATGGTTTCTTAATACACATGTACGGTGTTAAATCTCAATTGATGCCTATTTGGAAGCAGGTCAAGAGTTGCCCAATAATGTACTG